AAAAATGAATCCGCCTCAACAATATAGAACTTATCTACAATATTTAATCTCTTGTGAATTTGAACATTTGCTTATGATCCCAGACGAAGATCAAAGAAAATAAACCCACAAACAACAACAAAATTTAAGAAATATTCCAATTTAAAAAATATCATAGTTCTAAACTTATGGATGAAGACATTCGTCACCTGAGAGTAATGCTCGTATGTGTTCTTTTTTAGGAAAATTGAATTTGAATAATTAACCAAATATACAGTCTGAAACACTACCTGCTCCACAAACTCCCCATCCCAGATTAATTTGCTTAAATTGCCAGTCTATGTCGATGAGTCTGCAAAAGATTCAACAAGAGATCCAAGCATTATAATTAATAACGTATGATTAAATAAACTGCAAACTGATAGAAGAATTGACCAAAAACGTGACTGTAAGCGACAAATAAAACTGTGATAACTTTCCTAAAATCTATTTTATGCTTTCCAGTTCTTTTTACCAAGATATGTAAAAAAATGCAAAATAACTTCAAATGCTTCATAATTATAATTAACAGAAACTTTCATTTTGTATTAAAAATCGCATAAAAACACATGCAATATTAAACGATTGTATATTTTATGTGAGGCGTGACTTATCATTAAACTAGTAATAGCGTTAATGGACATTACAAAATAATGACCGTAAATATAAAAGCTTTGATTATTTTTGGGCGTGTTAAAAGCACGAAAGCTTCAAATAAAAAAGCACCTTTACATATTTGCGTTATAAAAAGATACTTTGCAGAATAACGTCGATAGACTGAGAAGCAATAAATCGCCAAAGTATCATTGGAAATTAAATCATGTGGCACACATTTTAAAAGGTTTTTACTGATTTGAAATATCATCAATCCAAACGGACAAAGCTGAAAATAATTAGAAGAATCAATTGGCGACAGGTTTGGCTAGCCAGCAAGGTGAGAAAAATAGGAAAGTTACACAAAAGAAATCTTGAACTTGATTAAAACATATAGAACTCCATTGAGATTATCTGATAATCAAGCAAATATGTTTTAACGACTGCTCTAAATATTTCCCGTATACATCATAATAATCATGTCATTGCACTTTCGATTTTTGGTATGTTGGTGAAGTACTTTAGATTAACGGGTTTTGGGTCGGCGTCTAATCACCAACACTTAGCACAACCATTGATGGATAAATAAAACATACTTTTAAAATAAATTAATTATATAGACTTTATATAGACAATCGATACTAAGTGAAAAAGTTGTTCTTACATCATTAATTCTGATCAGTCCTAAATAAACTTCAATTCTGATATAAAATAAACGCATTTAAAGAAAAGTTTTCCGTACTTAAGTATCTGGTTGCCCAGGAATTCATTCTCCACGAAATTCGCTTTTTTCAATTTCTCTTTCAAGTGTGCAAAATTATGGCTGATACCTACAAGCTTCTACCTAAATAACCGACAAACATATAGTATATGTACATATAATGCGGATATGACACCGATTGCGTTTATGTACAATTCCTAATAATATTTTATTTATTTATTATTATTATATTAAGAATTATTAGGTTATTAATGCTCCCCTAAAAAGTATTTTTATTTTGGGTTTGTCCTATTTTGCTATGTCCCGTTTGATTGTAACAACTACTTCTCAATGAAAAGATATTAATAGTAGGAATTAAATGATGCACTTATACTGCTTCTATTAAATTTGAAATAAATTTGTTCATCTAGACGACTACATTTTATATAAAAGAGTTAATCATACAAGTAAGTTATATATTTTGATTTAATTATTTTGAGAATGGTGACAATCGGCCTATTGTATCCTCCGCTTTCAGTTTGCCCTAAATGCTCCTGTATTTGATAAATAAAAATATAATCAACAAAGTGGTGCAGTTATTTGAATAAAGACTTTCACAATCGAAGTACTTTTAATCACAATTGAAGGATTTTAAATATACCGGGAGTTTACTTGAGTATTTCAGAAAAAATATCGACAAATTCATTATCTACAAAAATCCTATTTTATTTGCAAAAAACGTATTATATTGTGATACTCTATAACATATCCAAATTAAAAATATCTGAAGATTGAGGTAATTAAGAAAATAACCGCTTGTTTGAAGATTTGAACAAGTTATATTACATACATATATCGAAATCTAATAGTCTTTGTAAAAAAGTTTATTTCTATCGACTCTTATAATCTTGCGGTTTAAAGTGGACCACCCTGTACTACCTATGTTATTTGAATATTGTATATTATTGCTATTATTACACTATTTCTGATCGATTAATTGTGGTCATTTTACACCCATTATCGACTTAGAAATCACCAGCAAAGATACATTCATAATTTTAAATTGCTAATATTTATTCAGCTTACTTATATTCTCAGGAATATCAATTTCACCTGTCTGTGAAAGAAACAGATTCATTCAATAGGGCAACTGGTATGATATCATTATAATATCGTTAGCTGATGTTGGGATCGCCCAGAAAATGTCTACTATTTTTAGTCTGAACAACAGAGAAAACGAGACGTATCTATTTTAAGTAAAAACATGAGTTTTTACTTGTTTTTAGCTTCTCTCAACTAAATGCTACTAGAAGACTTTAATCGCATTCTTGAACGGGTTTATTTTGGGATTTTTGTATTTATTTCCAGATTCATCACGTCGTTTAAGCTTATACAATACTTATTCCTTATTATATGATATAAACACATTAAACTAACTATTTTTTTTAAATTTGGGTGTGTATCACATGATCATAACGTTAGCTTCTGCCTCTTAAAAATACGCAACTGAGTAACATGATGTTGAAAAATAGGAAAAAACTACACATATATTTGAAAACGGGCAAGTTATTTTAATATATGTTAAAAGCCGGGGCTGTTTGCCATGAACTCGTCACTGTCCTAGTAACCTTTAGTGTGTATATTGCGCTGCCCATCATAAAAAGTTAAATATTTACATAAGTAAGAAAACGCAGCCTACCCACAAATCGCTAAATGAATGAAGAATTTCTGCTGAACAAACATTTGCACTTTTATCTCATGCACATATGCATTGCTTGACCACTTAATAAAAATAATTGAGGTCTCAAGTTTCAGAACATACCAGTACACCCACAATATACACAATGTAAACCACAAAAATGGTAATCATTTGAAGATAGATCGGTTTTTCGGAACTACAAAGGGATCGCTATTCGTAATTAAAAAACGAAAGTCTAAAAGCAACAATTTTTACTAACAGAAATTTAATTCATATATGATCGAACAAACATACTTCCCAACAAAGTTCGATTTTCACTAGACCGAAATGTTTGAAAATACATACTTCTGTATGATTAAGTTTTTTATATCAAAAAAGATATTCTGCCCCATAAACCACTAATACATATTAACAACTATTTGAATCGATAATAGCAATTTGAATGGCTGATGGAATCTGTTTCTTGCACGATACACGCATGCACATACTTATAGAAAAAAAGTAGGTATTCGTGTATTCAAGAGGGTACTTCATTCATAATTGGCGGAATTTTTCTGGAGGAAATGTGAAAGAAGGTTGCGCCTGGCTAAAATCAAAACATTTGCGAAAAAGTAACTGGTAAGTTAAAAAATAAGGTCACAAGAGATTAGAACAAACTGAGTAAATCACCAAGAATAGATAAAGTTCAACTTGCATATTATAACACCCAACATATGTAAGCAAAAAGCATTAAAAATACGATAAACAGTAAATCACTTTAACGACGTTAAAGATTCAATGACGTTAAAGAGATCGCCAAATTTTGTCACATTTTTCATTAAATTTCAAAACCTATACTTAAGATTTGAATGAACTTTGATTTCGAGCTAAAACAAAAAGTCCTCAAAATTTCCAAGACGGTTTACTTGAGCCTTTAATATGGTATAATTTCGAATTTTAAGTTAAAATAACTCAAAATATTTTGGGCTTTTGAGTTTGGGACATTTAAAGAGTAAATCAGATAACTATCATAACACTCTTCCTGAAGCTATGATTTTAAAACATTTTTGTGATACTGATCAATGAATCCTTTCCAATTTTGCAAGACACCGTAAATGCCGGTAATACGTTTTTTGAAACTGATTCACTTGAAAAGTGTTTGGCGTTATATATTTGCCTTCTATACGACCTTCATGATGGGAATATGACAAATCATTTCTTGTAGAAAATTGATGAATTAATGTAATGTGACAACAACACTTCTCCCAAATACAATTTCTAAAACATAATATCCACATTCCTTCACCTCCAGTTTCTAAGATCACTACTTTATATAACCCAATTAATTAAACCTTCCGCTGTTGTAAAAATGATTACTCTCAAAGTTTAGACAATATAATTTTACATTTCGTTAACCAAAAAAAGTTGTTACATTTTATATGATTAATGAAATAAAGATACTTCTACTAAATTTTTGAACTTTGAAGCCCATATGCAGTTTCGAAAAAAAATGCAGACGGAACGAATGTAGTGAACAATAACAATAAAAACATTCAACTGGAAGCAACTAAATGCAATTTAATCACATTGATTTTTTTATGGAATTAATGAAACGGTAACAATTGGTTGTGCTTGTTAATGGCCCTATTAGCCAAATGTATTTATCGGATAACTATATTAAGCTAGATTGAGCCGATTTATATGAAAGCATAATTGGTTTTTAAACGTTAAGTGTGGAAAAAACACACAAACTTTTATCAATGTTTATCATAAACTAGACATAAAAGTTTCGTTATTTTTATTGCATTTTGAAACTCGGAGAGAATTGGATTATTCAAAATCTAAAACGAAAAGGCTCTTTGATGTCGTTATCAAAAACAGTTAAATTAAAATTTCTTGAAACTCTTAATCGACATATAGGTGCTGCTAAAGTACAAAACGAAAATAATACATAATTAAGTATAAACAGACTTACTGAAATCTTAGACTAAAAGTGATTCAGTGTAGGTACCTGAAATAAAGGAAAAGAGTTAAAATATGCTATACAAAATACTATATAAGTGTAGTGGATAAATAAAAAATGAAGATGATTAAATATGTTTCTTAGTCCAGTGATCTTCGTCCAATGTAAATTTTAATTATGTATACCTAAGTAAGAAATAGTAATTTGGTGTGCAAGTATCTGATAATTGTCATGAAAAAAGATATCGAGATTAAAAAATTACTATCTGAATACCACATAAATACATAAGCATTAGAACTGAGCTGAACACGCTGAAGCAAGTTACTCTTAAACTGCTTTCCGAATTGAATCCGATTCGGAAATTCCGAAAGTTTTCAGCTACTTGAACTGGTTTGGTGTGAGTTTCTATTACTCCTGATATACATTTTTCCGCATTTAGAGTATTGCTTCTTTTAAAAATCTTAATATTATCTTGCAATTGATCGTCGTTTCCTCGACGTACTAGTTTTCTTTTGAGCATTTGTATAATATTTTTCACTGTTTTATCTTCTTTTCTGTCTGCTATTGATCATTTGTTGTCATTAAGAGAGTTGGTAAAGGTGTCACTCTGTGCTTTTGCCCAAAATTTATTAAATCTATATTCCTCAATTTTGCTTTCACTAAATTAAAAATACATTTTTTAATAAATGAAACGAATATTTGTTTTCTTGTTATCAAATATTTACTCTACGTTACTATAAAATAACAGTTTAAACCTCACTAAATAATCAATATTTTACACCATTAAAATCATCATTTTAGGCTTTTAAATTATGGTATTGAGTATGTAGATTTAATTAAGTTAATTTTTGCCAGGTCCTAGATGGGAATATCATGATGGAAAAAGTACGCCCGGTGGTT